TTGGGGTCAATTGTAGTCGTAAGTTGAACTACCTATATAGGGGGTGTTCAATTCAAATTTTCATCTAATATAGGGGCCATATAAATGCTTAATTTTCATAGGATTGTGCTCATTAGAATTTACTATTTGTATTGAGGAAAGTTTAGTTTTTATGCACATAAGTATATGTTCAGAGAAATATCGGAAACATACAATTCCCTCAAAAATATTGTAATACCTGTTCAACAATCAGAGTGAATGCATTTCCCTGTTACTTAAATGAAAGAGAAACTAGTATATGTAAAATACATCAAGTTCTATTCGGTTTTAATACCATATTTTATCATACTGATTTGTTAACATAGGAAAATAGCTCAATTTTCTATATAATGGCTAATTGAATGATTACTGTTAAAAAGCATTTCAACTAATTGCAAATTTCATATTTCAAAATAAACTATTTGTCACTATCCAGGAATAGCTTTACAAGTTAATGAAGTTTTGCACCCAATAGTAGGCTCACTACAGGACTATCCTACCAATTTTGTCTAAAATCAAACATATATTGTTCTTTGATTATTTTAAATATTTGATTTATAGACTTTTTGTATCTTTCTACAAAGCTTATAGTAAAAACATATAGTGACTTTCTTTAGCATAGGAAGAGAATAGAACAGAACAGAACAGAACAGAACAGAATAGAATAGAATAGAATAGAATAGAATAGAATAGAATAGAATAGAACAGAATAGAATTCTTTATTGGCCAAGTGTGATTGGATACACAAGGAATTTGTCTTTTGTGCATATGCTCTCAGTGTACATAAAAAGAAAAGAAACATTCATCAAGAATCATAAGGTGCAACACTTAATGACAGTCATAGGGTACAATAAACAATCAAATCATACTAGGAAACAGTCAGTATATATCATAAGGATACAAGCGACAAAGTTACAGTCATACAGTCACAAGTGGGGGTGATAAGGAGTGATGAGAAAATTAATAGTAATAGTAGTGCAGACTTGGTAAATAGTCAGACAGTATTGAGGGAATTATTTGTTAAACAGAGTGATGGTGTTCGGGGAAAAACTGTCCTTGTGTCTAGTTGTTCTGGTGTGCAGTGCTCTATAGCGTCATTTTGAGGGAAGGAGTTGAAACAGTTTATGTCCAGGATGTGAGGGGTCTGTAAATATTTTCACAGCCCTCTTTTTGACTCGTGCAGTATATAGGTCCTCGATTGAAGGCAGGTGGGTAGTAATTGTTTTTTCTGCAGTCCTAATTATCCTCTGAAGTCTGTGTCTGTCCTGTTGGGTTGCAGAACCAAACCAGACAGTTACAGAGGTGCAGATGATAGACTCAATAATTCCTCTGCAGCTCCTTGGGCAGTTTCAGCTTAAAAGGAAGCTGTTATAAAAAGGGATTGCTATTTTTCATCAGGAACCTGAATCTCCTCATCCTTTCACATCTTCTCTGAAACAGTTCTCCATACCTCCATGCAAATCTATCATTTCATTATCAGCTACAACTTTTATGAACCAACTTGGTCATTCCAGGTTTAACAGATGCCCCCTTTCTTGTAGCTGCCTTCTCTTCAGAATCTAGCATATTGTATGTCTTAAGAGAGAATTTAGGATTTCTTCTTCCCCTTTGGGCACCAAAAAACAGGGCTGGAGATAACATCTCTGAGCTGCTGCCTCTGAGTGGCAGCCAGGCAAAAGAGGCCCCAGATTTTAATGATCTGGTATCAAGAATGAACACTGAAGCCATAGCAAGGTTTGAGGATGGAGGAGGGACATCTGAATGAATAGAGGGCCACTCCTCCTTTTTGCTCACCTCTTGGTGGCAGCCTCCAATTACTACATTTTTCCTGATGTAAATAGCAGCTGATTTAATCTGACAGTACTGTTCAGATCACCATCATTGTTTTTCCCTGGTTTCCAGGGTTCCAAAAAGAAAGTTGGTCATGCGAAGCAGTTGGGAGTGTTCCTGGCACCTACCTTTTCCAAATGATTAACGGTTCTCCATCAGTGTCCCCGAAATGCGGTGTGTGAGTTTGCTTTGGAGCTGACACTGCCTTTACCTGTCTCCATGCCCTGCTAACTTTGTGTGCAGTGGCCCGTGGTTATTAAAATTCCTGTCAGTACAGGAGTGGTTTAGCTTGCGTTCTTGTCTTTAGGCATCATGGGTTTCTCTAAACTTCTCCATTTTAGGCAACAGTCAGTCCAGTACATGTGCCTGATTGCTGATTTAGGATTTAATATTTTGTGCTTTTAGCTTAAAATTCTTGTCTCTGTACCTTTCACCTATGCTCAATTATGATGGAATTCACAAAGCTTTTTTTAACGTTTTAATACTTGAAATGCTTAAAGGTTGTTTTACCTAGGTGAAGCAAATTTTGGTGAGAGCCATTGATGGGTTTTTTTTTCTGTAGTCAGAATATAATGAAAAAAGAAAAAAGGAGTAAAAATTTTTGTGCCTGCTTGCACACCTATGTTTTATCCAAAAGATAAACCCCAGATTGGTGTTTCTTCTTTGCATAAATATATTATAGAAAGATAGAAATCAAGGGGGCTTACTTCCATAAATATCACCCATATTTTATTAAAAAGTTAAAATTTATTGATTTCAAGAGCAACCCAAACAAATAATTCCTTCTTGCTGAAACTAGGGAGTACTTAATTTTGCTTGTGTCATGGCTAACAACTTTTAAAAGGCACATTGTTCAAGTTCACAAGAAAAAAAACGACAGCTAAACAAAGTATTGGAAGATATTTTTTGTTTTTTCTTCTTTTAAAAAGTTTTTATTTGTCACAGGAGAAAGAATGAGGAAGTGGCTAGACAAAACTTTCTAAAGCACAAATTCTGATTTGAAGGAGCCACAGTAGGAAAACCTTGCTCTGTTCTAGCCAATTTCTTCTCCGAGAAGATTGAGATATCTCCTTTCTGTTGCATAGTGAATGGACATGTGGAAAGTGGCATAAATGAGCTTTAACTTCCAAATAATCTTCATTTTGGCATAATTAGGCCTGCCATAGAAAAGAGATGTAGAAAAACATCTCCTTGCACATATATAAATATTGTTTTGCTTTGTTTTGAATTTTAGGGAAAAGAGGGGTGTATAGTATTTATGACAGTGCAGTAGGAATTCACAGCATCCTAACCCAGAAACCTGCTGGACCTTAAGATTGAACAAGGCATCATGAGATCTTTGATCTATGATACCAAGAATATTCACGTTACCTCAGTAATCAGTCTCTGGTTGGATTTTCTCACTTGTTGTAAATTAGGATATGCAATTCTAGTATGAATTAATACATCGGGGCAATTGTAGGATGTTAGAGGAAACAATGTGATTCCATTTGTCAGTGAAATGAGAACACATGATAACCAGTGCAGAGAAAACAGGTCTTCCTGTAATATACACAGAATGATCTCTCACATTGTGAGAGACATGAGAGAAATGTACTTCATTTTGGCTAATGGCTGAAGAAGCACGTCCTTCATACATACATAATTACCTATCACTCTCTTCAAGATAATAGGAGACAATAATACAAGATATCCAAATATTTAAGTAAAATGTTTTCAAGCCTATGTCATACCGGGAACTCCATATAGTGTACGTGAAATCAAGTATTTCCTCTGTTGGGTGTGATTTATATTATCACATTCTGAAGTTCATTAAAATATTGAATTAATTAAAATGCACATCTTATGGCACACTGTAATCTGCCCTTCAGGTACACCACTGGTGGTTTTCAAATGTATTTAACTGTGATCCAACTAAGGGAAACTGTGGACATCTTCCTGATCAGGTGTTGTATGAAAAGGCAACTTCCTGATGGATATGCAATCCAAGGACCAAGTCCTGTGGAACAAAAATAATGTTGCTCTTGAAATTCCATTAGTGATTCTTGGGGTACTTAAAAATATCTGAGTAAATTCTGCTTAAGAATTTTTAAGTGATTTGCAGTGTTGAGTATTCCAGCTCTTGAGTTGGTCTGTCTTTATAGGATTACTGTGTTTATTTTTGCTGAGTTTCCCTATAAAATAAAAGGCTATCTCATTCCAATTGGGTGTATAACTTGTTGCTTAAAAAGACACTGGTCTGCCAACTGGGTCTTCAACAAACCCCTTAGATTTTGCCTTCCCAAATAAGCAGCAAAATTAGAATATTTCATAATTCCTTTCTGTAAACATGTGTGGCTTTTGGGTTTCATCTGATTTGACATATGCTAAACTTGCTGTGGTTCGCCAGTAGTCAGTGCAGATAGCAGTGGAATCGGACAGTGGGGAAGAACAGGGACCAGTCAGGGAGTCTGGAGAGGACTCAGACAAGGATCCTGCGTCCAATGCAGAGATGGGACCAGGACCATCTGGAAGTGGGGTGCTACCTTCGGAGTCTGGCAGCAGCGAGGGAGAGGACCCAAGAGAGCCTGTTCCAGTGTGTGTGTGCGCAGAGCTGCTAGAAGGCGAGAGCAGCTGAAACAAAAGGGGCGACTCGGAAGTAAGGCTGGGAGGTGATTGCCCCTCCCATAAGGGATAAAAGTCAGGCCAAGAGGATGAAACCTTTGCAGGAAGCAAAGCAGTTCGATCGGTTCCAAGTCATGCTGGAAGCTCTTTGTACTTCAGTTGGTTTTTCTTGTACTTTGGTTGGTTTCTTTTCTAGTTAATTTGATACTTCTGTTTTTGGCAGCACTTCACAGAACTGAAAGGTATGTGCTTATCTTGGGGGACTGTTTGAGCTTAACTCCAGCGAGGAATGAAAACAATTCCCAGCGTTGAATAATTACGGTTTACGAAGGCTGGGTCAGAACAAAACTTAGCTAAGCAGAACTGTCTTATATCAGGAAATAAAGCAGGATTGGGCTGAGATAACTGCATTCCATGATAAAACATAGGATGAAGTTGTGTTGGATCTTTTGAAAACCCTATCTGATCCAGTATCAAGACAGTTTATAATTTAAAAAAAACACTCAGTTTACTCCCCTGACCTCTAACTCCTCTGTTTTCATTCTCAGGTTGATGCTCCTAGCACAGGCTTTGTAGAGGAAGATTCAAAAGAAGCTATTGTGCCACCTGACCAAGTAGATGGGAGCAATACTGTAACCAGCACTCTTACTGTGCAGGAATATTTTGCCAAGTGCATGACAAAACTGAAGAAAACTCAAAATTGCACCAAAGTAGAGCCAGGTAATTCTCCTCCAGTGATGGTTGAGAAATTGGAGTGTTTGGAATCCCAGACAAAGAAGAAAAAAAGACATAAACATGCACAGGATGAGGCTGGAGAACCAAAGATTATCTGCACTGGGATAGTAGATTCAAGTAGAGATGAAGTGGATACCCAGAAAAAGAAAAAGAGAAAGAAATCTAAACATCTGGACAGCAGTAATGATCTTATTTATAGTGAATCTCAAATTGGTTCTCAAAACCAAAAAGCAAGACAATGTTCCTTTGAAACATCTAAGGAAGAGAATAATGATTTAGGAGAGCAAAAATCAAAGAGAAAGAAAAAGAGCAAAAAATTAGACTGAGATGTAACTGAAGATGTAGAATGCATAAAGAAAAAATGTTCCAGTTGATATAAATTTTAATGTTTAATTTCATTGAAATATACCTAGATTTCCAAATTTACCCAAATAAATAAGCAACATTTTATAAAACAGACATCGTCCTTATTTGTTTACTTATTTCAAATTTAGAAGACTGGCAACTCCATAAGCATACAACATCAAAAAATACAGTGAAGGTAATAGAAGAATTATGTATGTCAAGAAGAGGAAATATTCAAATTAATTTAAAAAACTCACCCCATAAAAGACTTGCCATCCACCTTAACCAAGAAGTGGTAGAAAAGCCGGGTTTTTAACAATCAGAGTGGGGAACTAATGGATATTTGTTGTCTTTGTCCGCTGTCATACCATTCCTACCTTTTGGAAGATTAATTGCAAAAAAGGATTGGTGGATGTGTGGGGGTTAGTTGGTTGGGAGATTCTTCAGGAAATCCTGAATCTTCTCATGATGTCTAGTTGTTGTACTTCAATGGACTTGCATGTCAATGACAAGCATCAATGGAGCTCCTAATCCTATGACAGAGGTTTTTGGGAATGGAGAAGATTGAGTGGTTAATTCCTGGTTTACAATATCCATGTTTCTTGTTTTCTTGACTCACTTAAAAAGAACATGGTAGTTTGTTTATTTATATAATTTATATGGTTTCTCAGCTCAAACAATGTGATTTTGGGTGGTGTATAAAGGAAAATTAAATCAGCAATACATAACAAGCATTTATGAATTTCTCCTGAAGAAATAGTGGATCATTGTCTATTAATGCTTTTTGATCTGAATGTACTAACTCATTGTTGGCTCTTTTATTGCCTGTAGATTTTTTTTCCTTTATGGTATTCCAAAGGATAAAATAAAACTTAGGATAAAAAAGCCTTATTAAATGAAATGGATGAGTATACACAAATGTGGATACACTATTTTTTCTTGTTCTTTTCCTGCTTCAGTTGGTCTCTTTTGGAATCACCAACATAAAAAAATACGAAGTATAATAATATTAACAAAGAGAGGTCCAATCCTAAATAGAAAATAAAGTACCAGCCCAACAAAATAAACAAATTCAGTATGCATAAGTGGTAACTTGCTGCTTCTTTTGAAAAAGATTGGGAGATCATCTTTCACCTGTCAGGTACAGTATGCTTTATTCTGCTCTGATCTATGAATATTTCAGATCTTTTCTTTCCCCCAATTTAGTCCCAAGCTTATTTGGTGTAGCTTTCTTAGAAAAAAATGTACATGTCCTAGATGTCCAGTCTTGTATATCGGAGGATCTTTCACATTTCTTAGAAAAAAACAACTTTTACAACTATGAGGGGAGAACTTACATTGCAGCCAATAAAGTTCAAGCTCCCTGGTCCAAGCTACATACCTTGGTTTCTCATTTTGCTTCTTTTAGATTCTCTCTTAGACTGCTACATCAGCTAAGATTTTGAGCAAAGGCCCTATAGTAATAACTTAATATAAACCAATAGCTATGCTTCCTAAAAAATTAGCAGATTCATGCTTTCCCAATGAGTTAATCTAAAACTGGCTTGGACTACATTTTCTGCTTTTTTTGTACCTTACCTATGTGACCAGGTGCTAGAAGCTTTTTTTATACTTCATTAAAAATCATTTATGTATCCAAACTAACAGTTTATTTCTCTGAAAGGAGATTAATATGACTGAGCAGAGTTCTGTAACTCTTAGTGAATAAATCTTAATCTATTTAATAGGCAGCTCAATAAAAACAGATTAATAAGAAATTATCTTCATCAAATGTACTGCATACTCTACTGATACAATCTTTGAACAGAACTAGTTCCTGAGACTTTCCTGACAGAAGAATTAATCAGTGGAACAACTTGCCTCCAGAAGTTGTGGATGCTCCAACACTGGATGTTTTTAAGAAGCGACTGGACAACAGTTTGAAATAATATAGGGTTTCCTGCTTAACCAGGGAGGTTGAACTAGAAGACCTCTAATGTCCTTTCCAACTCTAGTATTGTGTTATTCATTTGCCTCAGTGGGTGGCAGAAGCTGGCTACACTTGATTCTTCTAGTGTTTTGTAAAGATACATGGTATAACTTAAAGATACAGTACATGGATTTCAACTCCCAGAATTATCCAACCAGCATGAGGAATGAAGTCCACATATCTTCCACACAGTTTCCAAGGTTGAGACAGTCTGATGGGATATTCTGAGTGCAATGGGCTAGACCAGGGAAGACCAACAACCACTTTTATAACATGCCATGACATAGGCAGATGTTTCTGTGTAGGTCACTGACACTCAAGCTGAAATCCAGGTTAACTATTTTACTTTTCTTTCCCATTGTTTATTTTAAATAAATAAATTATTGCACTTCATTTCTTGAACTTCATGGTTGAAACTATCTCCCCCTCTCCTGTCTGTGTGTCTGTAAAATATACTCCTAGTACAGAGTATAAAATCCTATGAACATTTAATATTACTCTACGCACACACCCATGCAGTGTCATGTCCGAGTAAAGAAATATAAGATCTGTAAACATTGCAGCTTTTGTACTTATTGGTCACAGCAGAGTCATCAACAAGGAAGAAGGGGGAAGCACCTGGCCTTACATTTAATTTCAGCATAATTAAGCCTTTTAGGCTAAAAATCAGAGCTGGCCACTGGTCAAAGGAGTTTTAATTGATGGAAACAAATACTAATTATAGTACCAAGCTCTCATCCTTTAATGGTCTTCAAAGAAGTTGAGGGAGCTGTTTATGTGACTGAATCATCCAAAAGTTAGTTCTAATTAAAGGAAATAGTTGTTCTCTAGATTTGATTTTTCTTGGTTATAACAGAGTTGAAGTTGCCAAAGTAAACAATTAAATGTTCTCAATCTTAGCATGCCCTATCAACCAGTTGAAGATTGCAGCCCTATCCATCATAAGCAGCCACATTGAATTGCAGACTTATAATGTCCAGTTTGGGGGGGAAATTTAAAAATCAAAGTCCTACTCTGGACTTCTGGTTGGCAACCAATTTCCAGTGAAGAGCAGATCATGAATATAGTAGTATTCTCCTGCCCTGTGCCTATTTCTCTCCTAAAGAAATCTAAACTTACAAGACGGGAATGGAAAGGGAACCTACTGATTCAGAAGACAACATTAGTGAATCTAATACTGTATCTATCCTACAGGCTAAATGAGGCTAAATATACACTAAATGGGAAAAGCTTCTGCAAGACAGTAGCAGTCAACTCAATAGAATCCACCCTACATCCTTTGCCTGATATCTATTAAGGAGACCAGAATTAGAAAGGACTGGACAAATAATATGAGTTGCATATGCATAATATATTTAACCTGATTATAAAATGAATCCATTTTGGGGGGTTGCAAGAACTATGGAATTATAAACTAACCAAACAAGCTGGAGTTGCACAATATACCCCCACCCCATTTATCATCCAAGGTAATACTGATTAAAGTTAGTGTATATATGTAAATTCATCTAGTAGGTCTTTAACTGACTCATCTAAGCATGTTCTGAACATGTTTGTGTTTCTCAAAGAACAAAGATCTAGAAAGGGATCAAATGTTTCAGAGCAGAATGTTAGGGAAAAGTGTTCATAGGTCTCAGAATTTGGGAGCATGATTTTATATTCATTGACCTCAATAATGTATAAATTGATTTAAATGCTTTGTACAATGAGATTTTACAGTTTGGGAAAGAAGATAGTATTCTAAGGTTACTTGTCATCATGAAACATAAATTATTAAGTGCATCATTAGATTGGAAAAAGTAGAAGCAAACAATTTAGGCAAAAGCCTTTCAGTTCCCTAAAAGTTCCAGTTCTCGTGTTTGTGCCTCAGATAGCTCCAATAAAAATAAAGTTTAGCATAGAAATGTATTAATGATTTAATTACATGACTTGCACAACATGCTCTGCTTTGTAAAACCTCATAAAATTATGTTTGTAAATCGTTTATACTGCTTTATCTTAATTTGCACTGGGGTAACAAAAAAGATAAGGTGTCCAAGAGTATAGTTTAAAGATTGATGGGATATGTTTTAAAATGCAACTTAGATTTTATTCCTAGTGATTATATTGTTTGGCAGCAATACTGAAATGGTTTCCTTTGCCTCCTGGATTTTTTTTTTTTTTCAGTTTCTCAATCACAAAAAAGTTTCTCAAAAACAGCCAGGGAATTTCCTTGTTGTCTCCCATCTGAGTACTAACCAAGTCTGCCTCTGCTTAGATTGGCCCAAATGATTCATATATTTATTTTTATTTATTTATTAAATTTCTACACCGCCCATCTCACCCAAGTGACTTTGGGTGATTTACAACATCATGAGAGTATTAATTCTTTGTGCCCAGAAAACACACAAACCGGGAATATTTGGCAATTTGATTTTAAAATATCTCACTAAAAGCAAAAGCCCACACCAATTCATCTGGAATTATACTGTAGTATTACAATAATTTGCTTCAGTTTGGAAAGAAAGCTTGTGCTGTCCCACCTGAAAACCATCACGGATCTACTGTTAGATCCCATGCAGTTTGCATACCGAGCAAATAGATCGATAGATGATGCTGTTAACATGGCTCTGCATTACATCCTATAACAACTTGAACCTCCAAATCACTACGCAAGGGTTGTCTTTGTAGACTTTAGTTCAGCATTCAATACCATAATTCCCGACACTCTTTTAAGTAAATGAAACCAACTAGCAGTACCTGAACACACTTGTAAGTGGATCATAAGCTTCCTAACAGACAAGAAGCAGCAGGTGAAGCTAGGCAGAATCACATCTGATACCTGTACAATCAGCACAGCCCCCCCCCCCAAGGCTGTGTGCTTTCTCCACTTCTCCCTATATACCAATGACTGCATCTCAAACGATCCATCTGTTAAAATACTGAAGTTTGCTGATGATACAACAGTGATTGGTCTCATTCAAGACAACGATGAATCCGGATACAGACAGGAGGTTACACAACTTGCCTCGTGGTGTAACTGGAACAATCTGGAACTGAACACACTCAAAACTGTAGAAATGGTGGCAGACTTTAGAAGAAACCCTCCCATACTACCACCTCTTACAAAACTAGACAACACAGTATCAACAGTAGAGACCT